TGTATTTACTTTTATATAAAAGATAAAACAGAATATAAATAAAATGATTAAAAATGTGTTATTTTAAGAAAAAAATACATTGTATTAGATTTTTTAACAAATAGATTGTATGTCAGACAACATTTCTACATATATAATGTGTAAACAATAAATGTGTACATAATATACAATATATATAGACTTTGATGTCTTTATCAAAAGTATTTGTCTATAAATCTCGTGAACATCTCTTCAGTCTTTAGTCTTCAGACACTTTTTTACACCAAAAATCTAACGCCTCTTATGAGAGATTGGCGTCAAATGTTATACGAGTAAAATAAATCATTTCTTATATGATATTAATTTATTTCACTAACGGTTGAATACAAATATAATACAAATATAATACAAATATATTACAACTTAATTTACTTTACACGCTATGACTCTTAATGATGAACAACATTGAAGTATATAATAACTCAAACTATTTTCAGCTCAATGTTTATCTTATACCAGATTTGTCGTGAATTGTCAAGAAATGTCTTCAATTGACACGATTTGTCGTGACCTCACTTATAACATACAATATAAAGTATATAACAATATATTTTTATAGTTATATATTGTATATTTAATATAGTGTAGCATAATATATAATATTATACAGTATATACAAAATAAATTTATTCAATAGCAAATAGACAGCAAATTTGTCTCCTATTTGCAGAGCTCATGAATTATGCAAATTACACATTTATTTTATGAAATTCAATTATATATTGAAAATTTGCCAAATTATATGTATTTATACTATATTTCAGTATAACTTCAGAATAATAATTATTGAAAGCTTTAGTTGAAAAATTAACTAATATATACTGTATATTATATAATATAAACGCATACTAAATGAATTGTAAAATGAATAGTAAATTATGATATATAATAAATAATACTAAATTTAATGTTTTTTATTTAGTATCTATAGTTTCGATCAAATTTAGTTTGACATTTAATTAATTGATTAAAAAATAAATTAGATAAATAAATAAATAAATAAATCTTAAATATTTTTTTAATTGAAGTAATAAGTAAACAGTCTTAAATTAATATTATAATTGTTATATATTTTTAATTTATTTAAATACATTAATATACCTAAAATAATTTTAAGTTGTTTATAAAATAAAATATTTTTAATAATTTATTATACATTTATGGTTAATAAAATTTTAAATAGAATAACTTTTTTAAATTTTATTTTAAATATTAATTTTTAAAAAGTTTTTAATACTTTAACTGGATCTAAAAAATTGGTTTAATATTTCATTATTATAAAATAAAGTAAATATGAAAATTGTATACCAAATAAATAGCTAAGTCTTAATTGATATTTAAATTTATTAAAATGAATTAGCAATTCAAATGTAAATTTTGACACAAATGAAATATTTCTCTAAAATAAAATAAAAATATATAAAATAAAAATAAATAAAATTATATATTGGAATAAATTTTTGATTTATGTATTTAATAATAATAATAATAATATTAGGTATTATAGTTAACTTAAACTCTATAAAATTGTAATAAAAAGTTTCTACCAGGTTTGGCATAGACAAAATGTTTATATAATACATGACCAATTTTTCAATACAAACAAATATAGCGCCACCTATTATCAAAACAGTAATATAAGCAATAATAAATATAGATTTGATATTATTTAAAATTCATTTTTTCATTTTAATTTATTTTATATTTATTAGAAGACTATAATTATTATAACAATAATAAATTTAAAAAAATTATATTAGCATTAAATAATTTTTATAAATTTTTCAAAATAGTAAATATTAGTTCAAAAAACTTGTATTATACATAAAAATTACATGAAAATTATAATAAAAATACATTGCATTGTATTATAAAAAGCTAAAATTAAAATATTGTAATTTATTTTTACAATCTTGGTTTTTACCCTAAGATTTATTACTATAAAACGTTATAACAATTAATAACATTTTTTAGAAATAATTTTTAAATATAAATTTGAGTTATTATTATACTACACGGATTATGATCTACCGAAAACTCGGGCCCTTTTTATGTATATTACATATGTTTTTTGTGTAACTATATCTCTATTAAATAATTATATAATTACATAAATGATGTCGCATTTTTTTAAACAACACGTGACAATATGGTATCTTTTATAATTACCAAATGTAGCACAAAAAAAATAAGTAACATAAATAAAAAAGTACCGAGTTTGTTCTGAAAATGTATAGGATCTCAATATAGAACAATATTAATACTCTATTATGAATACATTATTACACTAAAATACAGTTGATATTGATATTGTGTACAATTGATATTAATATTATTAAATAGTATTGATGTAAATTATTTTAATTAAGAATTATAGTAATTTCAAAATTTTAATTATAATTTAATTAATTTTTATTGATTGTGATAACAGAATTTTTTTAAAACAAAAAATATTAGACTAAAATGTATTAATTTTGTTTACTTTGAGTATAAATTTAGATTATTATAAATAAATTAGAAAATTCATAATAGTTTTTATAAGATATAATTTATATATAAACAAATTTAATAATTGGATTCCAATAGTATTGTTAAACTATTTAATAATTATAAAATTTGACAAATTCAAATTATACCGGTACCTAATTTAACAATATTTTTTAATCAGATTGTATTACAAGACTAAACTTAGACGAGTTTTGTAAAAATACTTTTGTTACAATAGTCTGTATATTATGTACTATAGTTATAATTTACTATTAGTTATCTTATAAATACAAACTATTTGTTTAAATTGAATTATTTCAAAAATATTAAAAAAGATTTTATAATATAGTTATTGTAATTGAATTTTAGGAAATAATATTTAAGTTAATATTGCAAATCAATGACTAAATGATATCTTCCTTTAAAATCGTTTTGATTCAAAATATTTCAAATCTATTTGCAGAGTCGATCCCATCCTAAAGTTTAACACAAGAAAAACTATTAATAAACTATTAGTTTATTTTTTGAACAAAACTTTACTTAATTTTTTACATAATTTTAACTTAAATTTAAAATCGTAAAAATAGTTTATAAAATAACATTAGTATATTAGTAATATATTGGTATTTTTTATTTAATCTAATTTAATGCAATAAAATTAATACTACGGTTTATTTGATTTGATTATTATTTGTATTTTTCTTTAAGTTATTTGCATAAATAGTATAAATATAATAGTTTTTATTCAAATCAAATCACATTTTTGTCACTCAAAAAAATAATACGTGATTTTAATATTATTTAATTTATTCAACTTATCTATTAAAGTAAATGTACAAATTATACAGTACTGTATAGTATACTGTTTATATATATTGTATTATTTGTAAATTATAAACTTTATTTAGATTGAAAATGATTGTATTAATCAATACAGAGTATTATTAAATTATTATTTTTCATTTTCGGTGACATTTGGGTAAAACAATTACTAAGAAATTCATTTCGAAGAAATCAATTGGTTATATAAAAACAAATTAATTGAAATAAATATATTACATATTATGATTTTGATTAATTTGTTTTACTTAACATTGCTATGTATTGTATTGTATAAATGTAATAACTAATTATATAATTATCAATAATAAAAATTTTCTAAATAAATCTAAATAAAACTTAATAAAATAAATTTAACCAAAAATTGTGTCTCTGTTTACATAAATGATAATAATGTTGACATGAATTTATAATTAGTGGTCATTAGACAATGATTGACAATATGCTGTAAAAGTTCAATATACTATAATTGATAAAAATAATTATTGTATTGTATAGTCAGTGAAATATGTTTTATAATTAAAACTATACGTTATTAACATATTTTTGATAGATTTTGTACTATATATAGTATTAGTACATCCGAAGCTAAAAGCAAATGTAATTTTATAATTTAATTAGATTTTTATTTAAAATGTATTAAAATATAATAATTATATATGTGATAAAATGTTTTTTATTGTTTAATATATTTTTTTGTGTTATTAATCAAAATTATTGTTAAAAATCATAATGATAAAATCAGTTTAATAATATAATATTTGATATGTTAAATTAATATAAAATATAATATTTTAAAGTTGTGGTTGTTTAATATAGAACTATAGTAATTAATCTATAAATTTTTACTGCAGTATAAGATTTATGTACTGTATATATTTATTATTTTATTTATTAATTTTAAATTATATTCATTATATAAAATTACATAAATTATTAGTTTACAATTTTTGTATACTCTTCAAATTTACTATTTATTATTATTTAATTATTACATTGATTTATACACTAATCCTTTCTAAATAATTAATACTGAAAAATATAATTTTGTAACAAATCATTGCAAAGAGTTATAGCAAATAAATGAAATTCTGAATAATAATAAAAATATAATTCAGTAATAATATTAAACAAATATTAAAATCATATATAACTTGAAAAAGCGATTGAATTTCTGCGAACAGTTAGTCAACTGTTCATTGGAAGCACTGGTATCTCAGTATTTGTAGCAATGCCTGAGTCTGTGCTCTATTTGCACGATTCGCTGCAATGCCTGCAGTGATGTGCAACTCATATGTTGTGTTAGTTTGTCTCAAACCATAGCTAACTGTGCTCTTCTATGCTAACTGTGCTGCAAAAGCTGCCAACTAATCGACTCATGATATTTACAACAGTTTTGTGACTAACTTTCTATTTATTATATTTTGTTATATAAATTCATTATTATAACCAAAAGGAAAGGGATTTTACTGATCGTTTCAATTGAGTTATTCAATAGTGAAAAAGTACTTTATGTTCAAGTTTTTAAAGCTCTAATACTAGTATTAATAGCATATGAGATACGAACTATTATTAGATATTTATTGCAGAACTAACTAATCTTATAGAATCTTATATATGTTTTAAATGAATCATAAAACTTAAGCAAACATAACATTAAAGATGAAGATTAAAGACAATCTTTATTAGCATTTGAAATACACTTCCAGTAAAATAGCCTTTGATTGAGTGCTCGCCAATACATATCATCGAAATGATGGCATTAAGAAAATTGTTTCGCCTTAAGCCAGGCTCCAGTGATTCGCGATCGGTCAGCGCTAAAGACAATGGCGGTCGACGATCAAAGAGATCGTCGACCACTTCTTCTCCATCATCTCACTCGTCATCGCCGACTTGTTTGCCAAACGGTCACTCATCAGCTCGTAATCACCAAATTGTTCCGACAACTAATCAGCCATTGAGTCGCCAGACATCTCCAGATAAGTCAACGAACAAACCCTCCAACTGTACAATTAGGTCAAGACGTTTGCTTAAAGAATACCAAGAGTTATGCCGTAGTGTCCAAAACAACACCCAAAACGGTTTTACACCCTTTACTGTCGATTTAGTGAACGACAGTCTCAACGAGTGGAACGTTAAGGTCTACCAGTTTGACAGCGATTCTCAGGTCTTTTAACTATTTTTTATTATTTCTATTAAAATATTTTCAACTAATAAATAGCTCAAAAATTTTTTTAATTAAATTAACCAAAAAGTGCTGAATATAGATATTTGAAAGATAACGGATACTCAATAAGAATAGGCTATCGATTTTTATCGCAAACCATCACATCTTTTATTGCTTTTATCCCAAAAACACATATCAAAAACATATGCCTTTCCCTTAACAGTCTTGTGTTCTATATTTGTCTCTTTGCTAAACAACTTCATGTTATATATAATATATTTTTGGCGATACCAGCGATTGTAAGTAATAGTCGTACAAAAAAAGTAAAATTCTGTTCTTTAAAATTGCAGAATATTATTATATAAGAATATTCTGTATCTTAATGTATTGATTTTCAGTGTTAGCATAAGATAGAGACAAAATAATTTGTATTTTTATATTTTGAATATTATGGTCTACTATTCTGAAATGTATTTGAAAAATGTTTTTTTTTGTGTATAATCTATAAATACTATATAGATTTAGAAAATCATAAATGCATCTTAAAAACACCTGCTATCTCTGTAATCAATTAAATATCTGTCAAAAAATTATTTTTTATCTAAACACTCAAAAATTTATTTCTCTGAATAGTAGTATTATTTTTTTAAATGTACAATTGTTGATATACAAATTAACAAATTGTTTATTAAAAATAAATTATGATTGACTTATATTATTTGAATTATTATACAATATATTATTTTGAAACTTTTTAATTACATTTTTTGTAAAGATAAATATCCAGCTAAATGTCTTTAAAGACCATTATTTATATTTGAGACTATAATCTTTGAGTTAAAATTACTTTTATAAAATTTAATGCCCAATATATCAGTAAATACAGTGTATTTTAAATACTTATATTATGTTTTCCGTAAAGAAATAATGGATGAGATAATGATTTTTCTTTTACATTGTCTATAGTTTTATCGCGATATGAAAGAGTTGAGCGTCGAGTATGTGCTCCTCAACGCAACGTTCCCCGAGAACTACCCGTTTGCCCCACCCTTTGTCAGAGTCGTGTCACCACATATTGAAAAGGGTATTAAATTACATATTATTTTATTAATGTTTTTGTTACAGAATTATAAAACATTTTCTTAAAATCTATTAACGCTACTATAATTATAAATATATCCCTCTTTACAAATACGCTTTATATTATGCAAATATTTTTAAGTATTTTTGTTTATATATGATATTGAATATCAAAGCATAAAATTTTAGTTTTTTATTATAATAAATATTAAGTATTTTTTATTAAAAACACTGTATTAAGAATATAGAATAAAACATATTTTTAATTTTTTTAGGTTTTGTTATGGAAGGAGGAGCTATCTGTAAGTATTTATTTAATTTATACAAAAAATTTAATGTTCATAAACTATTTATTTTTTAAATAACATTTACTAAAATAAAATTTAATTCATTACATAAATTTTTAATTAATTGTATATTTTTGTTTTTAAAATGTTATAAATTAACTATAAGTATTAGTAATATACAATATCTGCATATATTATTATTAGTTGTTATTCATTAAATAGTACATAAACTATACTATTGTACTTTATATTATGCAGTGAATAGTTATGCTAATAGTGTAGTAAACATAAAATTTATCATTTTTTCAATAATAATGAATAGCAAATAAATGTTGATTTGAATCACAGTTTTCAGTATAAAAGCCATTAATGATTAAAATACAAATACTATTCACTATATTCGTGATTATAATTACTAAAATTTGAAAGAAATTTAAGTCAATCAAAAATTCATGTCCCACTCCATTGTAAATGAGAATTAATTTCATTAATTTGATTATATTTAATGAAATATCGGTTTATAAATAAATGTTATGAAAGCACATCAGGTGTGTCGTCAATGACAGTCTGTACTTATGACTGAATATACAATCAAATTATCACTACTGGTAATAGTTATACCATTGAATTTATCGGTGATAATAATTTTACTTTAGTAGTCAACCATATAATATAAAGTTTATACTCTATGATCGCATATATTATATAATATGGTATCGATTTTAAAAATTGCAAAATTGAAAAACCATTTTATTGATTATGTGCTTAAAATATAAAGTATATTTGTTATTCATTTATATTTAATAATATTTTTAGATAATACTGTTTTTATAGTGAAGTCAAATAAAACTTTTTTTAAATATTTTTTTATTATAAATTAAATATAATTGATATACAAATGTAAATCCATTTTAAAATAAAATATATATATAAAAGTAATTTTATATAAATTAAAAACATTATTAAAAAAATTTGTTACAACAAAACTGTCAAAATTTTAATGAGTCTACAGTTAGACTTAATTTATTGTATAATTTGTTTTTTTTATTGAAGTGACGCTAAAAATATTCTCTAAAGAATTGTTTTACAAATTCTTTTCTATGAGAATAGTGTTATTCGGAAAAAATAATATAAATTTTTAAGAATATTTACGAAAAGTTTCCTAATATACTATATTTATTGTAACAAATCTTAAACTATTTATCACAACTTAAACATTATCATAATTATCTATTGTGTGTATATTACATTAATATTTAATTAATTATATAAATTAAATATATAAATTAATTATATAAAAATGAGTATGTTTATATTATGCTTAAATTATTTTTAATTTAATTAAAAAATATTTTTATTATAAACTTACAAAATTAAAAACATATTAATTTAATCTATTATTAGTCATTAATATAAAATAAAATTATAGTACAGCTATCAATAAAGACAAAAACTTTATAAATGACATAAATAATAAAATAATTACCAAAAGTAAAAACAAGATTTTTCTTAAAAACAAATGTTTTGACATAAATTATCTAGATTACTTATAATGATTTTAAAAATCAATATATTATACTATTAAAATACTTTTATTACTTTTATTAGTTTTAATTTTAATAAATATATAGTTATAATAGATATTTTTAACGTAGAACTTTAACTTCTAACTTTTAAAATAATTAACATTTTTAATATATTTAAAAAAAATAAATATTGAGTCAAGAATTAATTCTAATCATTGAGTATTGGGTTCAATAATAGTAATAATTTTATAATATAATTCAAAAATATTGGTTTTCTTAATAATGTTAATAATTTATAATTATCTGAAGCACGTTAATAATAATTTTATTTTTATATAATTTAATAAGTATTATATATAAAATAAGTAATCCAAAAAATTATTGTTTATATTTTACTTTTGTCTAAATTTATCAATTTTAGTTATTATATCATTTAAAGTTAATATATTATACTATACTAACGGTATATTATCCATTTGATGATTCCATATTCAGTTTGAATATTTATTTATTTATTTCAAGAGAGTTATATTTTTTTAAAAATGCTATCAACTATTTTTTAAATTATATATAAATATTATATATAACATGTTCATACTCATCATTATTATATTAGTTATTTTTACATTAATGTTTTAATAATTGACAGTTTATTTCAAAGTTATTTATTATACAGTAAACCTAAAAATATATAATTTATAAGCACTTTATTTTGTTTTAGTACATTAAATCTTTACATTATTTATTAATTTTAATATATTGTTTAATTATTAAATGAACAAATTAATAATTAGAATATCGAAAAATATATATTTAGGAAATTAGTGTTTTACTTCAATTAAAAAGATTTAGATATAAATATATCTTATTATCGTATTATTATACATATGCTATTTAATGTTCAATTATAAAAATGATAGTTCAATAGCACATAATTTAAAAGTTTTTCCATTTGAAGTAATTTTAATTTATTAATACAGTAATATTGTTTAAATACAGTACTGTAATAACAACTTTATAATATACTATATTTTATTCTATAAGATGCTATAATTTAAAACATGTAGTATAGTAATTAAAATAACATCATTTAATTAGTTAATACATCAGCAAATTTGTAATTAACAAAACGACAACAAATACAAAAGTACGACAACAATAGTGGTGTAAAAATAAATGTTTATAGCAATTGACAAACAAATAGTTTATTTTATACTTTAGATATATCCGAAAGCGAATTCAATTGAATCTCTAATTTTATGCTTCAATAGAAAACACAATTTTTTCTTTTAAAAAAACGAATAAAACATATTTAAATAAACATAAAAAATGTTATGTTATGTATAGTAAATAAATGAAACATTTCGTCGACAATATTAGCTTTTGTAATACTCTGTAATTTGTATTTGAAATAATAAAAAAATTTTTAAAAATCATTTAAATGACAAATTTAAATATATTTTTTTGTAATTCGAAATTTAAAATTATAATTTTATAATATAAAAACTACTTTATACTTATCTTAACACTAGTGTCTTTACACTAAAAACTGGAAATATTGAATTTTTATATAATCTATTTTATTTTTTATCTACACAAAAACAGGAATATAGTATGTAAATATTATATCGGTATATAATATATATAAATTTAATTAATCTAATAATTTTTAAAAATAATAGCTTTTAATGGCTTTTTACTATTGCCATAGAGTGATAGTATTGTTTTATTTTGTTGTTAACAATAGGCTTAGAGCTGCTGACCCGACACGGCTGGGCCTCTGCCTATACTATGGAGGCAGTGATAATGCAATTGTGTGCCAGTTTTGTGAAAGGACAGGCACGGATCAAACGTAATAAAGGAAACGCCAAACAGTTCAGCAAAAAACTGGCCGAAGCTTCCTTCAGGTATTCAAAATATATCAATTTAAATCACTTTCCCTATAATACTACAGTATATAATATTACATATAAATTTATATATTCAACATATGATTTAATGTGCTATACAAGCAGTTTAGCATCAATTTCAAAGTGTATTTAAAATTCACGAGACTTTTAAAGTAAATGATTTCGTATTTAAACTGCTTTTGAGAATTGAGAGTTAAAACTAATATTTGGATCTAAATTTTTATTATATATAGATAAGTATTTATCAAACATAGTTTACTAAATCTAGTATTAATAATAATTAATTAATAATTTAAACTAAACTTTCTCTCTAAAGAAATATTAGTTATTTTATTTATAATTCCAAAGTTTCATTTAAAATCATTTTATTTGTCACAAACATATGGCATTCAATAGATTTTTCTCAGTACTGTATTTGATGATTGTTAGGATTTTGTATGAAATGTTTATTGTAAAAATCATTAAATTTTAATTTATTATAGATTTATATGTATTTTTTCAATATTGCAAATAATATACTGTACATAAATTACAATATAATAATATATAATAACATATTTTTAATTGATCTAAATATAATATTTAATTATAATTGGTAATTTATTTAAAATACTGTATAACAGTAACAGATAAATTAAAATAGCTGTTTAAATAAAGTATACAATATTTAGATTTTATATTTAAATGCATTATATAGCCAAAACAAATTAAATTTACAAATAATAAAATATAAATTTAATTAATTAAAATAAAATAAAATAATAAATTAATTTTTTAATTAATATTTTTAAAATTAGTGCCAAGATTAGATGTTTAAGGTTAAAAGTTATCTATTAAGTTTACATACAAATTAGTTATATTTAGTACAAAGATAAAAAATATACATAAATTTATATAACATATACAGTACAGTATTACTATGTGCTGTATATTTAAGTTACTATAAATATTAACATTATATACTGCATATATAAAGTTGAATATATAATGTTATGAATCTTAAAAATATACTGAATTTTGATATAACCTGAAGACATAACTTATATTTATAATATACAGTATATTATATCATAAATATCCAAAAACTCTTCTCAATTCAAGCATTGAGTGAATGTTTGCTTTAAACCATGAAAAAAGTGAAACCATATTTTTGTATAGCATAAGTACATTTTGTAATAATATAATTTTAATATATATTAATACTAATAATTTATTCCTTAATTAAATAAAATATTAGTTTAAACTATAAAAACGTGTTTAAATAATTCAAAGATTTTAAAATAAATATATAAATGAATGAATAGATGGATAGAGAGATGGATAGAGAGATGGATAGAAAGATTATAAAAGTTAAGAGATGTTTGTAGTGATGGCATAGCATTCAATTGGTTCAATAGAGTGAATGAGAGTTAATTAGTTTGTTTGTTCAATCAATACAATGTTGAGGCAAAAGTACTACTGTAGTAGTGATGCACTAATTTGTCTGATTTTTATTGAATTTTCTTCAAATCCCAACATTAAACTTGTATTTTATTCTTACATTTAATCAATTGTTTTCTTTAAATATATCGCTATTTCTACTAATAAATAACTTATTATATTAATATCTTTATAGTATTGTAGTATATATTGAATATTAAGATATATAATTTAATTTTATATCTAAGCTAATATAATTAAATAAGCACACATTTAAACAAATATAATTAATACTAAATCAATACTAACACCAATTGTTTGTAAATTAGAAATGTTATTAAAATCCATGACCGACACGGATGGGTGAGTGACGCTTAGAAAATGGTAAATGAGCCCATAATTTATGCCATACTTACCTATAGGTATGTCTAACTATTTAATATTTATAAATATTTATAACTTATAATTGATCAAAAAATAAATTTGTATAATTGTGTCAATTGAACATAATTTGTCAAATTATATTCGTATAAATAGTTTGTTTAAATTATACTAACATGTTTTTGGAGGAAAAAACCTATTTAAAAATAATGTTTTATAGACAACTCAACTAAAGATTTTAGTGTAATGTCTATTACAAGAAGGGTTGGAAAATACAGTATAATACAATGTACTTCATGTATTATAAAATTTTAAAAATTATATATATATATTAAGGTAAAAAATAATAACAATTATTTAATCACAATATAATTGTTAGAAAAATTGTTATTTTTATAGCAATTGTTTTCGAAGAAAAAAATTTAAATAAATTAAGATAAAACAGAATTATAATAAAAAAATAACATAATATATATATGTATTATATTGTACAACATGTTGATTTTTGCTTATATCATTGTATTATAAATTACTGTATTATAAGCTTTGTATTATACAAACATTTTGTCACTGCCAACCCTGATTACAAGCACTGACTTATACTCTATAATATAGACTTCTATGAGATATTTAACGAACAGTTATTATGCTATGTCTTGCCTTTCGGTTGATTAGCTTTACTTAAATTCAATATTATTATGTTATACAATATAAGCCGATTTATTTTATTTATTGTTAATACAATAGTAAAAATATGTTTTGAATTATAATTATAATTAATAAACAATTAGTGAAGAATATGATTAATTATTAAAAAGATTTGAGTTATTTAAATAAAAACTGTTAATTTTCTATTTAATAAATCTTTAATTGTGATAATATTTTTATACAATTTATTTATAGGAATCTTATAAAATCAATAATTTGTAAACATTTCATTCGTAGACTAAGATTAATGAAAATTAATTTAGAGATCTCACTAAATATGCTGTAAATGACAATCACTAATCAGGGGATTAGTTTGCAAACCAATAGTAAACAAGAAATAATTAAAATATTTTTTGGATAAAATGCTAAATTGTAATGTACAGTGTACAAGCTCATTTAACATAACTATCTTATTATATAATTTAATAAATTAGATTTATATAACAAGTTAGTACACAAAAATAAGACAAATTATAATTAATTTTTCTTATAACTGTTATAATAGGTTAAACTAATCTGAGATAATTTATTTTATAATATTAATTTTATTATGATTATTGTAAAAATAAAACTATTTAATTAAAAATAGCAAATTATTACTTATACAATACTTATGAAATCAGTTAAACTTACAATTTTTAATAAATACAGTATGTGATATCAACTATATAAAAATATTTATATTTCATAACCAAATAAGCAATGTTTAAAAGTAAATTTAATATACTAGCAAATATGATATTTAAAATTATTCATGTAAATGTACAAATAATGGTGTTTCCATATATTTCTAATAATATATCGGCAAAAATCATCAGATAATCATTTTTATAAAAATAAATTAATTTTCTTATTTGTGTACACCATTAATATAATAAAAATAAACATTATGTAAAATAATTATATATTTTTCTTTTTATTTTTTACAGATAAAATAGAAAACAACAACAACTTTCCATTTGTAATATAAAATATAAATTTTGAAGAAAGAATAACAAATAGCTATTCAATTCATTTAAGTTTTGGTTATTAATATTTTATTCAAAAATATGATAATTAATATTTAAATTTATAATTTTTGTTGACTTTCATAAAGTCTATATAAAGTCTAAAATAATATACTGTATAACTTTTATGGATAATCGTATACATCGCATTTAATTAATAGTATTATCATCTTTATTAAAAAAACAAAACTAATTATAATATGTATAGTATTGCGGAAATATTGCAAATATATATATAAATATATATAACTATTCAATTGGTTGTGAATTTAAAAGTTTTTATTAAATAATTCAATATATAATTATATTGATTATATTACGATAACTATTAATATATGAAATACCATTAACTTATATATTGTGAGAAAATGTTTATCAGTTTTAATAGAAATAAACATATGTCTCAAAATGCGATCAATAATTGCCAGCCTATAAACTATTGTATTTTTAAAAACTAAACCTCTGAAACAAATAACATTTTTTGATTGAACTAAACTTATATTTAGAATTATTATAATATATTGTACTTTTAGCAAAAATTATTGTATTTAATAGTTATTAATTTAAATAGTCAATAGTCAATCTAAAATTAAAATTACATTCAATTATTATTATATGTAATACATTATATGATATTTTAGTAGATAATATGTAGAACAAAGCTCAATAAAAAAACTAATTGATAACAAAGTGACAAAAATGACTTAAATTTATGCTATTATTTAAAATATACCAAATATATTACCGGTAATGTTAATTTAAAATTAAGTTATTTTTTAAAAATTGTATTTTTTTAGTTTTATTCATTTAAAATATATTTATTAATAAAATTAATTAAAAAACAATGTATTTTAAATTATTGTATTAAATTCTATAAATTCAATGGTACAGTAAATGACATTGCACTTATAAAATCAATTTATAAATATATATATATATATATATATATAAAATATTCAAATATATTTTTCAATATAAAAATTAAATAATAATTAAATAAAATAATTTAATATTCCTGTAATTACTTAGTTTTTTTCTCTTCAGTGGTCTCTCCATATTCATTAACTCGATTTTTGTCGACCGGGTATAGCCTTTATTGAAATATAATTAACAATATATTTGTTAAGTTATATAATATATCGGAAATAAAAATTATTTATTTATACCATCGCTGATAAAGATATATAATAAAGACAACGTCATCGCGAAAAGCCGCCACTCTGTGTGCCGTAGGAATCGATGTTATGAGGAATGCAAACAAGTCGTCAATAAAAGTATTGAAAGCTTTATACATGAATGCCTTCCACGGCAAGTGAGCCACTGATTTCATCTTATAATTTATGAAAAGTTGTGGTAACATAAACAAGAAACCAAACGCATAAACACCGTTAGCAGCGCTTTGGATCAACTGTTTATAATTTGATAGAAACATTTTAATTATTATATAAAAATACAACTCATTTTATAATACAAACCCATGAATACCAGGACTTGTGTTGTGTATAAACTATTGAATATATGGCACCTCCGATGACCAGAGGTGTCAATACATATATTGACAAGTATTTCATAAAAGTCGAATCATAGGAATCAGTCTTCAACTCAGCTTCAGTACGAGATTTGAAAAATACTTTAAAACCTTTTATTTCAATCTTTAAGGCCTTCTTTAGTTTCCACAACTCTATCACAGTTCCGATAGCCGACGGAATTAATACTAAATATGAAGTTTTGTTTTCCATTAAATATAATGTTATCACAAATTGTGAGACACATCTCCACAACAATGAACTAAAGGATAGGCCTTCCATAGACTTTCGTTGTCTCCAAAACTGGATATCATTTTTAAACGCCAAGAAATCAAATAAAACCTTTTAAAAAGCAATTATTTACATTTATATATTATTAAATATTTCAAAATAACGGTTTTATCTCACATGAAATGATGTAATAAAAATAGTTAAAAGCAATAAATAAATATTTGTGTCAAAGAATATTCCTTTGATGTCATCGGAATCGGATTCAGTGAAACCCATTTTATGCATTGAATTCAGTGAAGACTCTATTATTAACATAAATCTTAGTTTTCCGATAGCAGTCGGTTCGTAAACCACTTCCAATGGCAGCACCGGATGAGACGAGTTTACAGGCTATCCATTCAATTATTTTTCATATTTAAAAAAATTTTAAGAATATTACAATAAAAGTGCAAAAATACAAACCCATAAATCTTTAACCCTTTGTCTCAATTCACTAATGTATAAAATCGGTAAATATTGAGTCCTTTCATTGAGTCTACAAATTGTCATACATTTAATCAATTAATGTCTTTAAATAAAAAACTTATTATTCATTTACTTTAAGAGATGAGTGATCTCTCCAGGAAGTGCTCTCCGAGACAATGAAATCGGTTCTGAAATGATATTCAAAGTAATCTTTGGTTTCCAATGAGTGACCACACGATTGTCACGAGTTTTTCCTTTCCTTTCAGACACTTTTGACTGTATTTTCGGTGCGTTCAGTAAATTAAATGTTTCGCTTTCTTTTATGGCATATTTAGTCACTGTTATGGTGGCAGTGGATGTGCTTCTGTGCAAAATTATTTCACGACTTAACTTATCTCTCTTTAAAGGTGTCAATACTGCGTGCAAATACAGTGAACCGTTCCGTAGTGTCTGTGCCGGCAGTGACACAGATAGGGAACTGTTAACAAACATATCATAAATATTAATTCATTCAAATTAAAGACAATATTTATTACAGTTTTTGTTCTTTGATTAATGAAAAGTCATTATTTTGATGAATACAAGTCATGTCTTTAGCCAACGGATGTTCATCGAGTGATGTGCAGAGAAATATCTGTCAATAAAATTCATTTAATCACTTCATTTGATCTGATAATCACATTAATAATCACTCAAAACATACAGTAAAGATGTCATTGCGAGTGTAAGACGGATCCAAACAGTGATCGGTCTTTGGATTGCATTCTTCCGGATTATACAACTTATAGATGGTATGCATTGAATGCAAAATATAAACTATAAGATAATCACTCAATTGGATCAATAAACTGATTGTAATTATGAATTGATATCAAAACTTACCGGTAAATAAAGTGGTGATAATCCATGAAAACGATGGAAACATTGTTGTCATACAAATAAATGCTATAAAAATACTGTCTATTAATCAATAATATTAACGTAATATTAATAACAAATTAATTGAAAATAATTAATAAATTAATAAAACAAAAAACTTATGTCTTTTTTACCGTATATTCAATGCATTTACAACTCATATGGGTTTGTATGACATTTGGGCTGTTTTTCAAGTCATTACTATAGGCTTTAGTTGTGTATAAAAAGTAATAAATATGTATTTCATAGAAATGTCTCAATGTTTACATAAGACTTAAATTATTAATAAATGAAATAAATTTTCAAAAGATATTAGAAGTGAATGTGTTTTGACTTTTGAGTCAAATCTACGCCAATATTAACGTCAAACACATTGCAGTCAAACATTTAATAATCAAAAGTCTAATCAATTTGAGAGCTATTTGTCGTAAATTATGTTCAAAACTATAGTTATTTGAACACAACTTTCAAAAGTCATTCATATATGACATGAAAAATATGCGGCGTTTTGACCGCAAAAGTGTCCCGAAATGCGACAAATTGTCGGTCAATCCATTGAAGAACATTAACGTGTCTATTGTGTCGGTGAATGAGTGGTCAAATAATGGTTGGACAGCCGGTGATGGTTTCAGTAATGAGTTGAATCCCCGAAGTTCGGGTCAAATGTCAAATGAATCGTATAGTAGTAATAGTTCACGAAATGACCAGAAACACGACCGAAACCGTATGGCCACCAAAATCGGTAACAATAAATGTAAAACACAACCCAAACGAAGTCGATATGCGAGAGATTTGTCACCAATTTTTAAGACAGACTCTAATGACAATCGAGTGGACAATCAAGAGCTCAATAAACATCTTGATATCGATGTGGACAACAATACCAATGATGACAGACTGACGTCACCGATGATGGATATTATTGTTACCGATTGTAGTTCACCACTCAAAGATAATACACCACAAATTAGTGACTTCTCTTCACCGATTAGGTCACAAAGTTATCGGCAAATCGAAAGAAAAGAGTCGACAAACCAAACAATTCACAGATCGATAATCAATCATTTGGACGATACGGTCGACAAACTGCGCAAACAATCTGCCGAAGGACGCAATCAATTGACAACACGTGCCATGAAATTGATGCAAAACATACAACAATCGAGACTCAAGTTTTGTCAAAGAGATTCACTATTAAATCAAAACAAAAGCAAACCATTGGTTTTGCGTGTCATTCAAATTGATACCCGTTTTGGCATTTCTTACTTGAAGTCTATTGTGATTATTGATCCAAATAAACAATTTTCTCATCAAATGAAGGTTTTATTAGTTTTAAACCACAAGATTATCGATGGCATTGATGTCACATCTCATTATACGATTGAATTGTTTAGCGGATGGAATCAACTTGAAGTTAATGATCAAACATTTATTGTTAATGCATTCAACATTAAATTTATTGAAGATAAACATAGTTTTGATGAACCAAACAATAACTGGGAATCAGATTATTCAATAATCTGGCAAAAAGAGAAACCATAAAAGTCAACGATTCGGTGCCCGTTTGAAATTTATATCATTTTGATAGCTATTTTGAATTACCGGTAATTACTTATTTTTTTCTATATAAAATAGTTATAATAATAAATGTGTTAAACCAATTTATTTATGATAATATATATCATTGATATTTTTTTTAAAAGAAATAATATACAATTGTTTTGTAAATATTAATTTCGATAATAAATTAATGCCAAAGTATTGAAATATTTATGAGTGTTTATTATAATGTATAAATATATTACATTTATTTGATTGATTGATAAAATATACCGAAATTTAATTGTTTGAACGCGTAAAAGATCGCGAGTTTTGTTGATAACGAATATCATGTCGATTACCACTAATTCTAGTCCATCGCATACCACTGTTATTTGAATTATTAGATTCTGGTTTATTACGATTCGATGACAACGGATAGACATCACGAGAGCCACTGTACCGATCGGTCAAATTTCGTGCACTGATTGGAGAATTTCTATAATTGTTAGCATTGGTTGAGCGCTGGTTAGTTGAGAAGTTGCGAACTGAAGTACCCATTCCTCCTCTATTGGGACGAACCATGTCTTTACGTTTGGTATTGGGATCATAGCGTTCGAGTGCAACAAAGTCGTCGACATGCATTGATGGCGGTCGGGATGTATTGGGTGGACGCGATCGGAAGGGATCGTTAAGTCTAGTGAAGGATCGTCCTCTACCTCTTGGAGCTTGAATTCGCTTATTAATAACAATCATCTCTTTATGTCTGATCAATGGTTGTGTTGTCTTTTCAATTGTCTCATTCTCTTTACTTTGTGTATCATTTATTGGTTCAGACCATAATTTCTCGAGACTCATCCGAATGTCAAATTCATTTCCAAAATATTTAGCCGACATTTCAATCAAATCGACTTTAATTGCATCTGAATTATCTATTTGTTCCGAGTCTTCATTCTCAATAGAAAGCCATTCCGGAAGATTTGGATCGCCTTCTAATACAAAGACACGTCTGTTCGCAAAATAATTGCTTAGAGATTCAACATTTAAAGCACTCGTCTCTGTAATATTGCCATCAGATTTGTTGATATCAGTTATATTAGAATTTAATATCTCAGAAATTACAGGATCCGATTCATTGGGCGTTTGTAATATCAACTGCAATAAAACGTAAATAATTATATTATAAGAGTTATCAATTTAAACATTACTTACATTTATAAATTCATTTGAACTAATTTGTGATGATTTTTGTAGATGTGATTGAAGTCGTGTTAAGATAAAAGCATTTTTATCATCTTTTTGAATACAATTTGATAAATTACAACTCAATCCCAAACGGAATGGAATAAAAGCCATCAAATCATAGATTATATTCAATATGCGAACAGTCGGACAAATGGTTACATTCCCGGACTCATTGGTTATGTTATTAAATGTTTCAATACTACTAACTAATGATTGATAAACTGCTTTAGTGACAATAGTAGCGGTTGGCACCGATAAGTCGCACAGTTGGGTACAGACACGTTTCAAAAGCATTTGAATTGATTGCAAATTACTTGATAAATAAGCTGAGATCAGTTGCTCAATGCTTTCATTAAGCACATGGATGTGTAATGACCACAGCTTTCTAAAGTTGACAGTTTTGTTAACTTCGTTGTTAAGCATCGGTTGCTTTACTAATAATGGTAACGGTTGTGGCAATACATCAGATAACAATGTGAGTCCATGAGTTAAAGCAAGTGGTGATGATAATGTATAATCAATGATATATTTAACCATTTTTGTCCAAATACTCTTAGTTATAGCTTCATCTGATTCATTGATATTGATATACAATTCTGTATAAATTAATAAGATTTCACTGATTTCGTACTGAATTTGTTGAGCAGTCGATGAAATCATGAACTGTATTGAAGCCGAAGAGGGAACTAATGCCAACACTGAATATATACGAATAAGTATCGGAACGGCTGTGATGTCTCTAAATTCAATGCCTCGCGAAGTCACCAAATATTGCACTATTGCTTTGATTATAAGTACGGCTGGTTTAATGAAATGAACAACAAGTGAGCCCTCGTGTCCTATGAGTGCAAAACTTTGATGCGAAGACTTTAAATAGACTTCACTTAATTTGTTCAAAAGTGATAATATTTGTGATAAGCCATCCATTGAAAAGATCTGAATGACTGCATATTTGTGTTTTAGTTGGACCTCTGTTTCTGATAATGTCTGTTCTGATGGCGAACAAAGATTATGAAGAATTTTTAAACTTGTTATCAACTCTGGACTTATTGTAAATACTGTCAAATCATTTGATTCACAAATAGTTTCATAGCTTTTCTTTATGACTGACATTAAACTCTTGAAAGTATTTTCAGTATATGTATTGTACGACACATTCTTGATAGGACTCAACCAGTTTGAGATAGTCTTGAGTTTGGGAATTGACTCGTTCTCACAAACTTTCAATAGATTGTGTCCGTAAGTGTCCAAAAAGCTCATCAAATTTGTATCAATAAGTTCGAGTGTAACTAAACAAAGATCGAGAGCACATCCACATGAAACCAGTTTAGATATCAACAACTCTTTACTTTGATCTCCAGTAAGAGTAATAAATGGTAAAATTGAATCAAAATTGTTTTCACTGGACATGACGTGAACGATCGCATCTTTGCCTATACCTGTGAACATCATTGTGTAAAGACTGGTAAGAGTTGTCACGAGTTCTGTGTCGTCAAAATTTTCTTTAATAGTCACTGTTTTACTTCTTTCATGTGATGCATGAAATGAAAATATTGAGTCAATTAATTGCAAAACTTGTAATCTATAAATCAATTTCAATCCAATGGTTTGCAGTGGTGTTTCCGCTTCATCGCACTGTTGGGTTACAACTTTTTGCAGATTGTTTGTCGAGTTTATCATATCATAACTCAACAAAAATCTTAATCCATGATTCATATTGGATATAGTGTTCAGTAAATCGATTGCACAATCAAAAGCATCGGTATTGCATGTCTTTTCCGATAATATATTTATCAGACAATCAATGAAATTGTTGTGTTTAAAGTACTTATACATTGATTTATATGAATCAATTGATGAACTCTTCAGTTCAAACTGTCTGGTGGTCGGCAATGAACGAAATGGTTGACTCAGTAAAGAGTTTGCATTTTTATAAATCAACAAAATTTCATTTAAACTCATTGATAATGAATCGTCATTAACTGTTGTGTCGTATCGTATCGATTGATAGCATGATTTAGACAAGAATATTAAAACTTCAAATAAATGAATTTTTCTCAATAAACACGTCAATGAAACAACTATTCTTGTCGATGGCTTTTCTAAAAGTAGTTCCAGTAATCTTTGATAACAAGTTTGCTTTGATTGTTGACTTTTATCATCACTGGTAGTATATATATTATTGATTACATGTTGGACACCGACGGGCCAATCGCATATGACATCAATTGCACGAAGAATAAGTAGTCGGACTGGAATTGTCATATATGGCTTGTTATACAATTCAAGTAATGAATGAATGACATTAAGATCAAGTATTCTCTTAATTAGCTCTTCTGATGTCTGTGACAGTGATGTCAATAATTTGATGCCAGCCTTCAAATGTCTCACTTTGTATGCAGTATTTGTCTGTTTCATCGCTAACTCAAAATTAATTCCATCGGCAATAAAGTTAATTAATGTCTTAATTAGTGAATCATCTCTTATTAAACACTTATTTACATCAAGAGATAACTGTTCAACAATTTCAACCCATTTATCATTTCGATGTTCACCAAAACTGTTTAATAAATGGCAAAGTCTTGATTCATTGGACCACTCAAAAGAGTCGTCAATTTCAGACAACTCATAGCCTGTAAGTGACGGGTCTTTTAACGACTGCAACGAAGTAAACTCGCATTGAAACGGATTAAATGTTCCGAAATCTGCGTACGAATTGATATCATATTCCGTGTAATCAATTAATAACTCGTTATCAATATTGCAGTCGTCTTCATATTCCTCTTCACTGCTAATTACTTCTAATCCGTCTTTAGATTGATCCGACTTAGAATCGTCAGAAATAATTTGTTCCAAATTTTCATCGTCTGATATCTTCTCTGCAATGTCTGATAATGAGTTATCAGGAGAAAGTGGATCAAATAACTCAGAATCATCTAAATTTCCAGTTTCTTCTTTTAATTTATTTTCAGATTTACAAATTTCTTCGTTAGTAACTTTTGGTTCATCCAAACCATATGTTAGAAAAAGAGGAGATTTCATAGGAGACCTGTTACGAGATCGAGAGTATGGACGAGATGGCGGTGATGTTAAGTTAACACTATATGAATGTAAAGGAGAATGTGGTGATGCAGATCGTGATATATCTTTTCGTGGAGAAGATCGATGTCTTTTAGGAGATCGATCTGATCTATAATATGGTGAACTTCGATGACTATTTCTATGTCTTTTTAATGAAGTTGGAGTTGTACTTCGACTTTTTGATTTACTTCTAGATCTGCTTTTACTCTTTCTTTGTTTCACTAATAAAGGAGAGCGACGGGAATGCGTTCGTTCCATATCTCGAGACCTCTGATGACTTCTATGAGAAGACATTTCTTTCTTTTTCCTGTCATTGTTGTCATTACATTGTAAAGAAACAATAGTTTCCCGATTTTCTGTCTTCATGACCGTCAAAAGTGTTTCATTTTGTGGCGAGAGTTTCATTTTCGGTGATTTCGGTGAATTTTCGGACAGTGTTTGCAATATTTGACTAACTTTTATCTCATCCATTCGTTCACAAACATTCAATTCATTAATAATTGAATAATCAGTTTTATTATCATTTATTGCTTCTTCAGTAAAGTTCATCTCTTTGTCAATTATTTGTTCACTGGAGACGGCATTTGATGAATGTATTTCATCGTCAGCTATAATACGGGAAATGTCAGCAATACAACCAAAGATGGCCAGAGTTAGTGTGCTATACATTCCCCGTAATATTAGTCCGTCGGTAGGAATCATCTCGTTTGGCACAAACACTATATTCACATTTTGCTTGTAATGTAAACTATTAATTAAAATTATAACAAATATTTATTTTTAAAAATGTTTAAATTAATAATTATTAAATGTTTAATTAATTAAATTTTGTCAAATAAAACATAATTAAAACATCGAAATATAAAATACTAGATCTCATACCTTCCGATGTCTAAGAAAGTACAGGCATTTCTTTTGGTCAAATCATTGATGAAAAACTCCAATTCAAATGCCGATGGATTTGTGGCACTGTTTTCAATCAAAAATAACATTTTTTTTGAATCCATATTATAATATAAATCTTGTAAATCATTGTCAAGACTTGAGATGTTATTATAATGAAAGAAGTGATTTAAATAACAAAATCAATACAAACCCTAATCGGAAACCGCCGGCAAAGTCGGCCTCAACTCGAGATCCCAATGGTATTACTCGTATCTCTTTAATGATAATAGGATTGGGAAACTGTACTAAACCTAATTGTGGACCCTTTATGGTGATCGACAACAAAACAAATCAAATGCCAAATGTTATGCCAGACAGAAATGAAAGTATAATTTAAAAAAAATGGTAACAAACGATACCTCGTGAACATCGGTTTGAGCGAAGGTATCAAAAAATAGTAGTTCCAAGTCTTGAGTTGTTGTGTCCATTGTATGTCTTATTGTGTCCAACACTGGCCACGACTGTCACCGAAGTAAACAAATGACACAACAAAACAATCGGCGATTCAATCAATACATCAATTGCTTTGATATTATATTGCAAACAATAATACATTCAATCATACAATAGATGTCAACACTTGTTATAAATACATTGCATTGCTTTGTGAGCATAACTTTAACTAAAATTAATATATATATAAACTATTTTACTTAATAATACTAAAAAATACTTTAAATTATAAGTTAGTTTTATAGTAATATCCTATAATTGTAATAGTAATAGTATCTAAATCAATAAAAAAAATTAATTGATTTGATTATACGATATTATAATTAAAGTGTAAATATTTTTCTTAATAATTTGCTAAACATATCAATGAATTATTTGATATAAATAATGTGTAAGAATAATATAAATTAATAAGTATTACTTTAGATTAGCTTAGATTAGTTTAGATTAGTTTTTTAACTTTAATTTTTTTTACTATTATATTAATTTTTACACTTATATACTATTTTTAAAAGTTACAAATATAAATAATATTATTAAAAACTGAATATAATAACATAAAATATATTTAATATTACAAGTAGTTTTAATTTAAAATATATTTTTTTGTATGTTTAGAAATATATAACTTAATTAAACTATTTAATTTTTATATTGTATTACATAAAGTAGAGAAAAATTTAAAAACATTAAACAGTACTGTAATTATTTTATCTAATTTATAAATTCATTCTTGAATTATATAAATATACATTTTTAGTAATATTCATAGTAATTAATATACATACATACATACATACATACATACATACATACATACATACATACATACATACATACATACATACATACATACATACATACATACATACATACATACATACATACATACATACATACATACATACATACATACATACATACATACATACATACATACATACATACATACATACATACATACATACATACATACATACATACATACATACATACATACATACATACATACATACATACATACATACATACATACATACATACATACATACATACATACATACATACATACATACATACATACATACATACATACATACATACATACATACATACATACATACATACATACATACATACATACATACATACATACATACATATATATATATATATATATATATATATATATATATATATATATATATATATATATATATATATAGTATTCTTCAAGTATCTTATTCATAGTAATATATATTACTATGAATAAGATACTTGAAGAAATATTGTTTTTTTTTGTTAAAATGTGTGATAAATGTGAGTCTAAAGTAATTTGATCATGTTAACTTAAAAATATAATTGAGAATTATAAAAATATATATATTGTACTATATATTTATATATATAACTTTATATTGTTACTTAACTTATAATACTTGTATAATCATATAAAGCGTATTCAAGCCGATTGAATGTGCAATCAATTTTGAACCAACAAATCGTTGTTTGATTCACTCTTTTAAAGCATTTAATCGACTTTTTGTGTGTAAGTGATCTCCAAAAGGCATCGAAATGAGTAAAATCTCTATTTATTTAGTCATTCAAAATAAAATCAAGTAATGAAATTGTGAGCCGTTTTGAAGCAAATTAATACTTGACTTAAATTACATGAATGTAAATAAAGAGAATCTTACATACAATTAATGCTTTACTTGTATTTAACTATATATTCATTTTTCAACTAAATTATTATATTTTTTAGTTTATATATTCTTTAGAATTGAAATTTTTTAAAGACAAACATAAGTAAATAAAATAATTATAAATTTACAGACATAGTATTGTTTTTAATAATAATATAAAATGATTTAATATTATTTAATAGAGATATTTGTAAAAATGAATATATGAACTTAAATATGCTTAACAAATAAAATAATAATTAAAATTTAAAAGTAATCACTAAAAAAGTATAATAATTTATATAAATTGATATATTCAAATTAACTAAATATTTTGACAAATTCTATTTATAGTTTAATGATTACTTCAATAAATTTATTATAATAAATTTAATACATTTTACAGTTGACACACACACACACACACACACACACACACACACACACACACACACACACACACACACACACACACACACACATACACACACACACACACACACACACACACACACATACACACACACACACATTGATGGTTTCTCTCTTATGTGACTAACATTTGACAGCATATTGTTGTCACTCCTCTGTTGCTATCAAACTATCAAATAATAAAATAAAATAAAATAGAGAGGCTTTGCTTTTGAATATTTATGAGGATTGTCATCAAATATGTTGGATTGAAACTGAATTAAGTCAATGTTTGTCACCATTGATGTTGAATCATGTGATGAAAACGGCAGTCACTGACAAAGCAATGAAAAAATTAATGTATAAAACTATATAAAACCAGGTTTCACACTGTGATCACCAGCAAACACACTCCCGGTGCCAACAGTGCTAAGTTAGCTAACAGTGATAATAAAACACATACAATTTTGGTAATATTGTAAATTGCATTCACATTACAGTCAAACATATGTATATTTTATAATATACTATATATTATAGATATATGTGAGGTTCATGTAATGGTAATCCATCGACACTAATAAAAAAGTTTGATATAAGTTATGCCATTAGTAAATTTGACAAAACATTATATTAAAGTTACTATTGCTGGCTTTGATTTTGATATTTTAATTTTGATTATAAATCTGATTAAACACTGTCTGATGATTTTGAATCCACTTTTATTAAAAACTTTGTGTAAATAATAATATTAAAAAAGTAGAAAAACGTCAAATATTCTATTTATTTAATTAAAATACAAATGGATTTATATATATACTGTGTATATACAGTATGAGTTGAAATTCTGTATTTGCAACAAAACAATAAATTATCATAAATTTCAATAATATTCTTAAAGTGACAATTTATAATAAATATATACATTAAATTGATTTTGTAAAAAAAATATATGTTTTAATATAATATATTTTTATGCTTTTAATTATAATTATTTGTTTTATTAATAAAATCAATGTTTTTCTTAAAAAATTAAAAATACATTATAATTTTTTGCATATTAGTAAATACAATTAAAAATTAATTTATATTTTCAGTTTTATATTCAATATTATTTCACTTTAATAATTAATAATCATTAAAAAAATAATAATTTCAATATAATGATATAAATAAGTAAATAAGTTATAAAAATAAATATTTTTGGATAATTAGTTATTATTATCTTTTATTATTATTTATTATTAACTTAAAAAATATTGATTTAATATTCTTGATCTTAATTTAATTTATTTATAAAATACAAATGACTTATCATTATTATTATCTATATCTTATTATTAATTGTATTACTAACCAATGTTATAAAAATTATTATTCTATGTATTATAAAAAAACTATTACAAATTTATAATACATGTACAAACTGTAATAACTGTAACTTATTTTTACATAATTTTTTATAGTACTTTTTTGCTGTAAATCAATATAAGATAAAAATGATATACAATGTAAGTATAAAATAATATATAGAGATAATAAAATAATTTTCATAACCCCTTAAACAGATTTTAGTCAATAACTTTGAGAACAATTGAGATAAAAGCAATTTTTATAAAAAATATGGACTTTAGGAACAAATCTGCAATTATATAAATTTGTGTATTAAGTAAAGTTAAATAACTAACTATTACTACATTGTACTACAATTATTATATTTTTATATAATAGAAGAATTCAATTCTAACAATATGTTTAAAAATATTTGAGTTATTAATAACAAATTGTGATAAACATAAATTATGTTATATTTAAAATAATAAATATTTTGAAATTAATTATAGTTATATACTATAAGTATAACATATACAGTATATACACATTAGAGATATGTTAGTTTGAAAAATCCAATTTTCATATTTGAACGTAATTTATGCTCAAATCACACAGTTTTATGTGAAATGTCAAAAGACGTAAGAATTAATTTTTTGATCTAGTTCATTTTCATTTTCATTTTCATTTTCATTTTCATTTTCATTTTCATTTTCATTTTCATTTTCATTTTCATTTTCATTTTCATTTTTATGTATTTACTATATCTTTTATAGTTTTAGGGATATCACACATCCCTGAGCTAACATACATGTCTTTATTAATAATTTAATATTTGTTACCATAAGGTCTGTTCCTAAAGTCCATGTTTATCATAAAAATTGATTTTATCTCAATTGTTCCTTAGAGTTATTCACTAAAAATCTGTATAAGGGGTTATGAAAATGATTATTGAATATATTTGTTGTACTAATCATAAAAACTTATAACTCAATAGCAAACGCAAGATAACAAAATAAATATTTAAAAAATAATTTGTTGACTATTATAAACTACGATATCTAGTCTTTAATTAAATTATTTATTATTTGTGATATATTGTCAAAATAATATATTACAAGACCTAACATCACATGACATCCGTTTCAGATATTATATAAATTATGAATATTATCGCGTAATTAATTAATAACCAAAAATTATAATAATGTCTATCATAAAGACATTAATGTAATGTCTTAGCAGACATAAGAAAAAAAATTAAAAGTAAAAAGAGTTGATGAGTTGACAAAACAAAATTATGAAAAACATTAAAACTTAAAACTAAAAACTAAAAAATTAAAAGAATTAATTAACATAAATCAAAGGTTTTTATGAAAATTAATGGCAGAGATATTGGGCTTTAATTTGTTAATCGCTAAAAAAATTATTTGGTCACAACATGCAAAAGATGTATCATTTGTTTAGGTATTATATATTCTTCACTCATTACCAATAGACCCAATCATTTGAAAATATGTCAATAATTATTTTAATATAAAATTTCAAGGGATTTATACCATGGATTAAATCATTTTATTCAACAGATATTGTTTTATCAGATTTCTATTAGTTTTCATTTATACAACACATCTTTGACGGCATAAAAAATCAAAAATCTTGAAGTCATCAAAATGGCTGACAAATAACTTTTCCATTTAAAACCAAAGCAAGTGTTTAG